AGACTTGCTTGAGCCCAAGAGTTGGAGGTTGCTGTGAGCTGCAATGCCACAGTACTCTACCCAGGGGGATAGTTTGAGGCTCTGTCTCAAAAAAAAAAAAAAAAAAAGAAATTAAGACAAGCATTGTTGCTAGGCTGCCTGCCCCAGACTTATAGAAGGTAAAGAAGACCTTAAATAATTTAAAAGTATAGGCTGGGCACAGTGTTCCATATCTATGATCCCAGGACTTTGGGAGGCTGAGGTGGGAGCACTGCATGAGGCCAGGAGTCCAAAAGCAACTGAGCAACACGCCAAGACCACGTCTCTAGAAAAAAATTAAAAAATTAAGTGGGCATGGTGGTGTGCACCTGTAGTCCCAACAACTTGGTTGGCTGAGACAGGAAGATTGCTTGAGCCCAGAAGTCTGAGGTTGCCACCATGATTACACCACTGTATTCTAGCCTGGGAACACAGCAAGACATTGTCTCAAAAAAAAAAAAAAAAAAGTACGTTTTGCCAATAGCCCCACACAAACATGTTTGACACTAAGTATCAATTTTTTTTTCTCTTTATTTTTTTTTCTTTTGTGGGAAAGTTTAGAGCACTTCCAAAAGAGAGCTGGAAGTGGGTCCCTCTTATGGAGAAGAAAATATATACTAAGTATCTAGAACATCTAGTTATCAAGACTTATTTATCACCCTATGAAGAGAAAGCAAGAGAAATGGAAGCCAAAAGAAGCAGATAAGAGATAAGTGTATAGTGGATTCACAGAAGTGGGGTGGGGGGAACCTTTGCTAACAATTGTATATTTAGATTTTATTTTATTTATTTTTATTTATTTATTTTTTTGAAACAGAACCTCAAGCTGTCCCCCTGGGTAGAGTGCTGTGGCATCACAGCTCATAGCAACCTCCAACTCCTGGGCTCAAGCAAGTTTCCTACCTTAGCCTCCCAAGTAGCTGGGACCACAGGCGCCCACCACAACGCCTGGCTGTTTTTTGGTTGCAGCCATCATTATTGTTTGGCGGCCCAGGCTGGATTCGAACCTGCCACCTTAGGTATATGTGGCTGGTGCCTTAGCCACTTGAGCCACAGGTGCCACGCCTGTATATTAAGATTTTAAAGAAAACTGAGAAAAATCAAATTGATCCAAACAGCAATACAGATAAATATAGATTCTCCTCAAGCCAAGGAATAATACCAATTAGAAAATAAAGTACAGGAGTTTTGACCATATAAAAAGGAAGTCCAGCCTTCTCTTGGCATATGTGGGAGACTGATTCTAGGACCCTGCATGTATAAACAAATCCACACATGCTCAAGTCCCCAAGTAGGCCACACAGAACTCATGGGGATTGAAGCCGAACCTCAGTATACCCAGGTTTCCTGTCCCACAGATAATATATATATACATATATATATATATATAT